ACAGAGATTCAGGGGTTTAAATGAGAAAATTTTAGTTTAAAGGGGTAAAGTAAGACTGAGCATTCGTTTTAAAGGGTGAAACAATAAATAAGCCTTAAATTATAGGAAGCCCCTTTCTTTCTCCTTAGAGCATCTCCATCCATGAGGGCTAAGTCTAAGGTACGGGCTGCCACTATTCACGTAAATAGTGTCAACCTTACCATTTATGGTTCCACCCATGAGGGCTAAGTCTAGGGCAAGTCTAAGGCAAATACTATTCATTGTACTTTATTTCATATTTTTTTATACTTTAAACCATTAATTTTGATAATGTTTTGTAATTAAATTTTCGGATAAGATTTTTGGTTGTCATGTGTCCATTATTTTTCAGAAAAGATTTTCGGATGAGAATCTCGGTTGCCACGTGTCTTATTCCAGATAAATTTTTTGGATATTCATTAAAAAAAATTATAATATCATATTTCAGATAAGATTTTCACTCTTTAAAATTGTGCCACGTGTCCCATGTCAGATAAGATTTTCAAATATTTAAAAAAAAATTATAATCTCAAATTTCAGATAAGATTTTAGCCCTCTAAAATTGTGCCACGTGTCCCATGTCAGATAAGATTTTCAGATATTTTAAAAAAATTATAATCTCATATTCAAATAAGATTTTCACCCTAAAAAATTGTGTCACGTGTCATCTCTATCTTCTGAATCCCTTTATAAAACTACACCCTCAACTTATACATCTCACACCATCTCTTATCTATTCCTTCATTTCTCGGATTTTACGAAACACTTTCTACTCTCAATGTCAAACTTGAGAAGGGTGTTGGAGAGGCAACAGAAAGAAAGGGAAGAAATCCGGCGTAGACGTGCTGAAGAAAATCGGGACGCCGATGAAGAAGAGGAACAAATGCTTGCAGCAGCGGTGTGTATGCTCAATCAATTAAGGCAACATCGTCGTAGTGCCCCGAATGTGGACAGACGTAGGGAGTCTCGGGGTAAGAATCTCTTGGAGGATTACTTTATTCCAAATTCATTATATCCTGAACATAAGTTTCGAGAGAGATATAGAATGCAGCCACATTTGTTCCAAAAAATCATGCATGATATTTGTAATTACGACACATACTTCATTCAAAAGCATGATGCTGTTGGAGTTTTGGGTCTTATCCCGGAGCAAAAACTTACATCTGCTTTGCGGATGCTTGCTTATGGGGCATCTACAGAGCAAGTGGATGAGATTGCAAGGATGGGAAAATCTACTATCCTAGAGTGTTTGGTGAGATTCTGTGATGCAGTGGAAAATTTGTACACGAGGGAGTACCTTCGCAAACTTACACCGAGGGACCTGCAAAGGCTTCTACAAAAAAGAGAGGCGTGAGGTTTCCCAAGAATGATTGGAATCATTGATTGCATGCACTGGCAATGGAAGAATTGTCCTACTGCTTGGCAAGGAGAGTACGGGAATTGGAAGGGCCAAAAAAGTATAATTTTAGAGGTCGTAGCTTCATTCGACTATTGGGTTTGGCATGCCTTCTTTGGGGTTGCTGGATCTCAGAATGACCTCAATGTCCTTGGTCAATCCTCGGTGTTCGACGAAGTATTGCGAGGTCATTTCCCTCAGATCACGTATCAAATCAACAATATTGTATACTCTGGTGCGTACTACCTTACCGACGGAATTTATCCTAGGTGGACGACATTCGTGAAAACAATTCTGAATCCCCAATCCGAAAAGGAAAGAAGCTTTGCTTCCTTTTAAGAAGGTTATAGGAAAGATGTGGAAAGGTATTTCGGTATCTTGCAAGCTCGTTGAGCAATTATTAGGGGTGCTGCTCGGATGTTAGATGAGGAGGTGTTGTGGAGTATTATGATGACTTGCATCATCCTCCACAACATGATTGTGGAGGATAAGTATGACTACGATGCTCCAGAGGTCTTTGAACCCGATTCCATGAACACGACGTTGACAAGAATATATGAAAGGCCGATAGGACCAAATGGACTACTAATGGAGCCCGAACCGTTAGTTCGGGATGGTCGATTCAATAACCCCATGATTGATCGTTATCAAGAAATGCAATCTTCATATGTTCACGAGAGACGTCAAGTTGACTTGATCGAGCACTTGTGGGAGATGAAAAGCAATCACACTGGATGAAGTCAAGATTAGTGCTTTGTTTGGAATTATGCTTTGTTTTTAATTATGCTTTATTTTGTATGTGGTGTTTTTTGGAATTATGCTTTTTATTTATTTATTATGCTTTTATGTATGGTTTGTTTTGTGTGTTGTTTGCAATAAATTAAGGTTTGTTTTTAATTTATCTTTGTTTTGATGCTCAAATGTTTTTAATAAATAGTCATATTATTTAATGCTTTTTTTATTGAATTAAAAGGAAACAATACAACAAATTAAAGGATAATACAACAATACAACATATGGCAAAGGTGTTTCAACACAACCTAATAGTTTTCATTATTTAACCAATCCGTGTTGCTAGGTCCGTCGTCATTAAAAAGTTTTCTTTTCATCACATCCCTTCGTCTTAGCTTCTAATAGGCCTTTGTTTCAGGAGACATATGGCTCGTATCCATGGCCATGATTTTCATCTCTCTATCATCCATGTCTTTTTCTTGTGCCTTCTGCTGTTGAATAACAAATGCTTCCTCTCGTGCCACGTCCATTTCATCCCTTTTCAAGTCTCTCTCAATTCTTAGTGAGGTGTTCTTAGCTATTTGCTCCAATAATTGTACACATTCATTGTTCGAAGTGCCCCCTCTCTTGGCCTTTGTCACCTTTCTCCCAATAGGTCTCGGCGGACGTGGGAGTGGTGACTCCGTTTCCATTAGGTAGTCCAATGGCGAATCGGTTGATGTCGAATCGTGGAGCAGCGTCTCATTCAACACAACCGGCGGACCGGCGGGAATAATTTTGAATATCAAACAATCCTTCACAACTTCCCAACATTGGAAATGCATGAAACTTTTTTTGCCTTGCCCCATGGCACCGAACCACCTTTGTGCTTATATGATCTATTAAAAATAAATAATTGGAAGTGCAAGAAAAAAAATTATTATGCAAGAAAATATAAACTATTTTGAAATGCAAGAATAAAATTGATTATGCAAGAAAATATAGACAAATTGGAAATTACAAAGAAAAAAAAAAGAATATGCAAGAAAAAGAAATAGAATATGCAATAAAAAAAAAGTTACATTAAATTGATTAAAATGGCAATTATAAAAATTTTACCTCATTGGTAAAATTTTGACCGCTTCGAATGTTCTTCTTTGCTTTTGTCAAGGCATTTCTCCATTTCCCTAACTCTTTATTCAGAAGTTTCCATCTACTAGATAAGGCCATTTCGGTCCGAATGGAACCCGATCTTTGACAAAATTCTCCATGAATTTTGCTCCACATATGATGGAACTTCATCTCATTATCCGTGATAGGGTCATGACTAACGTTCACCCAAGACTGACACAACGCAATATCTTCCTGAGTTGACCATGAGCCTCTGACTTCGATAGAAGATGCCATTTGTTTTTTTATACAAATGGAAAGTAGTAGAAAAATGTGAGTGGAGTGTAAAAAATATTGGAATGAGAAGAGTTTCTATGGAGAATTGGTGCGAAAAGTGAAAAATGTGAGTGGAGAGTGAATAATGTGAGTGGAGAGTAAAAAATATTGGACGGAGAAGAATTGTATGAAGATTTGGTGTGGAAAGTAAATAAAATGGTTAGGTATTTATAGGGAAAAAATACATAATTTTTTGGTATTTTTAAAAAAAAATTTCATAATTTTTTCAATTTTTTTTGCAATTTTTTTAGCCAAAAAAAGGAGGACCGTCGGATTTCTGGAAAAAAAAACGATCGGAGCGTCCCTGTCGCGACACGTGGCACATGCTCGTTGGATTCTGTCAGGGCTGATGTCAGCGAGCAGAAATCAAATCTTTTTTACCGTTACACACGCCAACGGTAAAAAAAATTTGATTTACCGTGCACTGACGTCACAAAACTCGGACTGAAGCCCAGACGGAACTTGCCCTTGGGCCTGCCCGGGCTGGTGGGACCCAGCAGTTGCCCGGGCTTCTTCTCTCGCACTGGAGCGCTTTTGGGCTCGCCAGGGGGGCCTTTCCCCCGGTTTTGGGTGAGCGCTGGAGATGCTCTTAAGAGCTACTAGGACTCCCTATTTTAAGAAGTAGATAGGGCCTCACGATAGAATTCTACTATTTAGATATAGCCCGCGTCTTTTATTTTCTTAATTTGGGCCTATTGGCTTCTTTTTTCTTTTTTCTTTTTTTGTTGCTAATGGGGGTCTATTGACTCTGACATATACACCCTAATTTTTCATGCAATTTTTTTTTTATTGTTGTCAAAGTTTGAAATGGGGAGGGAGAAGCCGTCATTGGGGTTCGAGGGTTCCAACCTGAGACAACTTCTACAGGCAAATGATGTTACCACTTTTCACGCAAAATTCAGTTTTCCACTTCAGCCATTCGTTGCCTGTCTGGACAATTATCTTCTTGTGTCACTGTTGAAGAGCAATCCGTTATTAGGTTTTGTCGATGAAACAAGAGCCTGCCCCCGATGAACTACATGTTGAATGGCAAACACGAGACAAGATCTTCAGTTATTGAGTTGTATTAATTCCACGCTCACTCCTAAGCATTTCAATGAAGAAAGCAAAATTGGTTTTCTAGTCTAGCGATGGTTGATAAATTATGTTGGAAGTTATGATCAAGCAAATGAGATTTGAGGAAACCAGCTAGGTAAACTGATCTACATTTAATAAATAAAAAATCAACCACATTATCAGTCACCTGCTACTAGCCTTAATAAGAACCCAGAAAATGCTAGCCATGTGTTGGTGTTGCAAGTTGGTTCATATTTATAGGGGCATTTGTGTGACAGAAAATTGGAGGGCAAAACTTTCTAATATCGAACTTTTGTCTGGATTTGTGAATCAAAACCAGTTACTTTTTGCTTGATATATGCCCAGCCACTGCAACAATGTAACAAGTTCATTTAGCCCTCGACACTTTCTATCATCACAATTCTAAAATGCCTGTTCAGGAAAATTTTCAGTACAAACTACAGATTTACATTTATACATTACAACCATTAGAACAGAAGGCATACAGCTACAAACTCCTAGCAGCCAGTCAAGCGTTACAACTTATGCCTATGCTTATACCATGTCACAACACCCCGCTTCATAACCATGAGCACCAAGCATACATATCCTATAACCGGTTAGTCATCGTCCGATAAATAAACTACGTCGGTGGATCTACCTGTGCGTACTGGGTTGACATGTGCACCACCTGTAATCGCAGGATCAGAAAGGTGCAAGTGGTCAAGGGTTGAACCCAAATTTGGCATTGAGAGCAAACTACCAGATGGATTAGCACCAAATCGACCGTTTATATCCATAATTAAAGGCAGTGCATATAAACTAAGAGCTGGCAAGCCCCCTGCATTTTCAGGATGATGGGTCCTAGTATAAGGAATATATTGTTGCATGGGGGCTGGAAGTCGTGGAATATGAGGAAGTGACACAGACGATGCATGAGAGTTGCTACGTGACTGCCAATTTGGCATGGATGTTGAAGGTCTAAAAATTTGGAAATGTGGGGCTGGGGAACGAATCTCACCTCCACCTTCGGGGATTCCTGTGGAAGAGGGGAAACTAATGTGGGGCGGTCTTGCTGGAATGCTCGGAAATGGAGCAGGCAACTGCATAGGTGGAGCTGTACAATATGGATTGGTTGCAGGTGCAAGAGGGGTCGCCTGCAGGCTGGGTAAGGAAGCAATAGAAGTTTGCAGGCTAGCTGCAGGAGGGCTGGCCAGAGATGAACTGGCAACTGGAGAATGTATATGTTGATTTTGCCGTATAGATAGCTGGTCCAGATACTGGAAGAAAACGAAATTCTCATCTGCCAGGGAAATAACAGTAAGGAGCATAAGTCCAATGACAAAATGTAAGCATAGAAAGAAACCCATAATGTATGAATACACAAATCGGTGTAATTGATATAAAGCATATACATAGTGTGTATTGATTAGCTGCCTGCTATAAGACTTTATAACATGCAAGAGGATCAAGACATTTGTACACATGTTTTATAACCATCTTATATTAATAGTTGTTACTTAGGTTTCAAAGAAGTAATGCCATATCTCTCATTGCACTTCATGATGAAAATAGCCAATGATAATCTTTCTTCTACGAAAACTGAAAATGCATCCAAACTACATCTTCAGTTTATGAAAGAAAGAATAAAAAAAGGGAAAACAACTTAAAAAGGTGCAACTCAAAAGTTTCATACCTTGCTGTGGTCCAGATGCACTTGATGCCCTAGTATAATCCATGTATTTAGTCCAAACCAAGGACAAAATCTTATTCCTCAAAACCATGTTGCGAATTGCATCCGATTCCTTCTTTTTAAGGTCAAATTCTGCATCAGTCTCCTGAAATCTAATCTCATACTTGCGACGAATGTCAGCAATGGCCTCCTCTATCTCCTTATCACAATCAGATTTCAGACGCAGCTTCTGTTCAAGACAAAAAGGTCTTCAGAAGAGTTTTTTTTGTTAAAATAAATAAATAAATGAAAAGATATTAACTTCGAAACTGACCATATCTTCATGAGACTTGTGGATTTGGTCTGCTTCTTTATCCAACTTTTCCAGTTCATTCTGAAGAGGGTCAGGGGACAAAGGCAGAGGCATCTGAGATGCCCCACGGGGTGCAGAAGGTATGGGATGAGTATTATATGAAGAAGTAACAGATGTAGCCCTTGTGTCGTGAAAAAGCATTCCAAATCCACTAGTATGTATATCAACAGGCTGCTGTAAGGAAAAACATGTCATAGGCTGCAAAATAGTTTGATCTGAAAGATCAGGAAGGTTCCCAGCAATTCGCATTGGAGCCTGAGCAACTTGGTTAAAGGTATGATCTTCACTAATTGGCTGAATGTTAATACCAGCAACTGAAAATAACTCAGGAGAACTATGGTCAAGTGTATTAGAAGATGGCAGCACTGGCACTTGTACAACAGGCTCATTGTCCGGCACATCATGATCAGAATGATTGTATGATACCATAGCAACTGATGTGGATACTGGATTTTCGACTGGTTGGCTGGTATCCTGCAGTTCGCTGGCCTGTGGATCTCCACATTGCACTGCAGTCAATGTGGCTAAAAGCTTACCTTTTTGTTGGTGTGCCTGGACAGGTGAGAATGTGTCAGTTAGTGAACCCTCAATCACTTTCTTCTTCTGTCTTTATTTTCTTGATTTAGAATTAATTTTGTTAAAAATCTTGAATACCATCTCCTCATAACATGGAGAAAGAACCAAGACAAAACTCACAGGACAATTAAAATATAATTTTCTGTTGTACGCATTAACAACCGTAGTAATGTTAAAAATTTAACCCCGTCATAATTCTTAGGATAATATAAACAAAATAGTGCAGGCAATGTCCTCATACAAGCACACTGTCATTTTTGTTGCACGAGAATAATGATCAAAACAAGGTGACTAGAATATGGATTGACAATATCTAACAATTTTATACCTGATCGAATGTCACTGAACCACCATGCACCAAAGCTGTCACAGGCTGCAGCGGGAGTGAGTTTACCAGGGGATTTTCCCCAGAAGAGTTGCTAATGGCTGCAGTATCAACTCCCTTCTGCTGGTTGATCCCAGTTGCACTATTAGATTCCATTACATGCAATTCACTGCTCTCTTTTTCTGTGGCCTTTTCAGGGTTTTGTTCTTTAGATGAAGGTGGGTCCACAGAGACAAGATTCCCTAGGCCATCACTTGAACTTACAGTCTCAAGCACTCCTGATTCAACCTCTTTGTCTAGCATGGTTTCTGTCACTGCATGGATTTGACTTAAACTGACAGTCTCATGTTCTGAGGCTTTTTCAGGGATTCGTTCTGATGATGAAGATGGATCCATAGAGATAAGATTCGCTAGCCCATCATTCGAACTGACAGTCTTAAGCACTCTTGATTCATCCTCTTTAGCTGGCACGGTTATTCGTTCTTCAGATGAAGGTGGACTTACAGACTCAAGATTATGCAAACCATGAGTTAAACTGATGGTCTCATGTTCTGTGGCTTTTTCAGAGATTTGTTTGTTAGATGAAGGTGGATCCATAGAGACAACATCCCCTTGGCCACCATTCAAACTGGCAGTCTCAAGCACAACCGAATCGACCACTTTATCTGGAATGGTTACTGTCACTACACGGATCCTTTCTTCAGATGAAGGTGCACTCACAGAAACAACGTTATGCAAACCATGACTTGAACTGACAGTCTCATAATCTGTTGAATTTTCAAGGGTTTGCTCTTCAGATGGTGGATCCACAGAGACAAGATTCCCTTGGCCATCATTGGAACTGACAGTCTCAAAGACACCTGATTCTGGACTGGTTACTGTCACTACATGGATTTGGTCTTCAGATGAAGGTGCGCTCACAGAAATAACATTATGCAAACCGTGAATTGAATTGACAGTCTCATATGTGGCATTTTCAGGAGTTTGTTCTTCAGATGGATCCACAGTGACAAGATTCCCTTGGTCATCATTTGAACTGCCAGTCTCAAACAGTCTTGATTCTACCACTTTATCTTTAACGGTTACCATCACTACATGAATTTGTTCTTCAGATGATGGTGTTCTCACAGACACAATATTATGACTTGAACTGGCACTCTCATGCAATCCCAGTGGAGCTTCTCTGTCAGGTACACTTAATGCAGCCCCATTAGGCTTCCATTGCACAGAAGACATATCCAAAGGAAGGGTTTGCTCTGGACCATCAGTTGATTTGCCAGATTTGGGCACTTCCAGTCTGGCCTCCCCATCAGGAATGAGTGATGTGTCCGCATTGTGGATGCATTCTTCAGATGGAGGAAGACTGGGGGTGACAACTTTTTCCGAGCCATCAGTACAGCAAACAATTTCTGGCACATCAAGCAGAACCTCCCCATAGTCTGAAGTTCCTCCATCAGTAATTAACTCTTTGGCACACGGATTCATAGACACGCCATTCTCTTGATCATCACCAGAACTGCCAGCTTCATTTTTCTCCATACAATCAGTAAACAAAAATGCCCCAGAAGTAATTGTATCTAATGCAGCATTTGCACTAAGGGGTCTAGCTGGAGACGTCACTGTTCTAATGAAACCACCACATACTACACCTTCATCAGGAGCATTTTCTTGAGTTCCAGACAATCCTATCAGGACCACCTTGTCAAGACCATGCTCTCTTAAAGAGGCAAAATCCTCAGAATCTTTATTAACTCTAACTTCTTCACTAGTCTGTAAGCATTTCGACCAAGGCTCAGGTCCATTTGAAGGTGACCTATTTAATAGTTCAACATTAGCCCAGGATTGCACGTTTTCTACCCATTGTTTCTCCTGCTCCTTCAACTTAAACCATTCTTGCAGGTGAAATTCCTCAAGACACTCACGGTGTATGTCCATATGGAGTTTATGCTCTTCAATTCTTTTGTCCAACATCTTAAGCCTATATGTCCTCATCGAAGTATTATTCTGGTAACAAAATTGAATAACGGCCAACTCTGTTTTCTTCTCTCTTTCTATATGCCCCTTTTCTTCCTCGTAATCATTTTCGTTTTTTCTTTGCTTCTCAGTAAGTTTTGTCATCTTCTTCTTGAACTTTTTATAAATATCTTTGATACTTTTTGAGACATCTGTGTTTGCTAAATATTCTAGATTCATGGACAAGTCTTCAATCTTTGATAGTACCTTTGCATGTGAATGGTCCTTCAAGGCATCTTTACTTGATAATTTAGCAGATTTTGGAGGCACTGCAACCTTGAAAGTCCTTGTACGATGTAAAAAGGTTTCCTTTAGACACCGCAGCATTGAATAAAAATAATATGCCTCTTCCTTTATGCAAGCGAAGTTAAGGTGCTGCTTTGCAAGCAAAAGCGATTCTTTGTGGTCGACTTTCTGCTTCAGAAATGAAGCTGCTGTCCAACACTGGATTTACAGATACCAGTAAGTTGGTTTTTAAAAAAAAAAAAAAGCTTAAGTAGCATTATAGACGCAAGCATGCTACAAACCAAACACGACAACAAAATGGACATGTTCATAACACATATTGAATTCTCTATGCCTATTTGCTTGCATAATTTCTGAACAGTGTAACTTCTCGCATGCATCATTAACGGGAAGATACATAAAGCATATAGATTGAATAGAAACTATCACATGTTAGTGAATCATTACAAAAACTGGTTATAGAAAGCAAAGTCTCTACATATTTGTAGGAATTGAAGAGTGTACTCACAATATAAGCAAGTGAGAAAACAGATGGGAGCACGGATATCAGAAGCTAACTCAAATGCAGCTCTCAAGGATCCATTATTTGATAATACAAACCAGGGTGAACCCTATTGTAACCATTTTATTACTGCAAGTATGACTTATTATTACTTCAGTACTCAGCAGCAACAATTGTTTTTACACTTCATGGTGCACCACTGGGCAAGGCGGGGACTGCCACAACTCTCAAGTCTCAAGATTGACTTCCATTTATTTAATATGAGAAACACAACTTTCCATAATAGAATGACAAATTGCATTCGGCAATCCCAAGTTTTAGTGTTGCATAAATATGTGAATAGTTAAGCTTTCTGGAGGATAGAAAAAGAAAAGGAGTTTGGTGCTAGGAAGATGTGCTGATTTGGCATTAAGTTGGGTTGTGTGGATGGAGAGGAATGAGAGAATGTTTTAGGGTGTTATGGGGGAGGATGTGGATCATTTGTGGGATAAAGTTTGATTTTAGCATCCTTGTGGGCTTCAGTTTCTTCAGAAATTAAGGGTTGCATTGATCTTTTTATGTTATTTATTCTGATTGGGGTGAAGTTGTAAATTAGATTGTTATTTGTGTTTTCATGGATTTTCTGCTTTGTAGTACTTAAGAAAGCTGTCTTTCAGGGACTCCCCAGTGTTTTATTTTTCATTTTTATTCAATGGAAGTTTGTTTCTTATCCAAAAAGGAAAGAAGAAAAAAAAGTTACAATAGCCTATAAAAAGATTTACAAGAGCACACCCCTGAAAGCTCCAACTAATAAGGGACGACCTGACCTAGAAGCTCATTTTATGACAAAGTATTTTCATGAATGCATTTATGATTTATCACACAGAGTGTCTTGATACAATTTCACAGCTGAAAACAAGCTTTGGTGGTTAAATTTCACCAAATTTGCTGAGGGTGAAAAAGCCATTAACCAGAGTGTCCTCAACACATTTTCATCCTCACATTTTAGCCGCACCATCACTCAAGTATGTTGAGGGTGAAATTTGACCACGAAAAGCAAGGGCAGAGTGCAGCATCATCACACATTGCATAAGTTACATGCAAAATTGCTTGGTGTCAAAATGTAAAACCGAACTGGGATAGATTAAATGTTTTTCAAATGTCTTGGCAAAGAAACTAAATTGATATTTGCAACAAGCTAGACATGATGGATATTGATGCCATGATTATCAGAGTTATTGTAAGCCAAAATCAAAGGGTCACAGTTACTTATGCAATGAAAAGATATCAGAGTAAAAAGAAACAAGATACCCGGTAAAAGCCAAACTATAGAGGTTGATTGTCAACCAAAACATCCAAAATCATTTCAGAATAAAAAAGAAATATGAGTGTTGCAGGCAAACATAAAAAGAAACCATGCATCTAAGAACTTTACAATTCAGCATGGGACAAATCCATTTCCTTAAGAACACACCAAAAGAGGGTACTAAAACATGAGTGCATGAAAGGGGGAATCAATTCTAACCAGAGCTATCTGTAATGCCTGCAATGTTGTTGCTGGTTCTGTATTTACAAGGTGATTATTCATTACGTATTCAAGAAGCTTTTCGACCATAGCCTTGACAACATCCTGCATAATAGTAACATCAACCAAGATATCATTAAAATAGAGAACTGTGTTTTACTAAGATGTATTCATGGAATATTGAGTTAAGGCAGCACATAAGAACAAAATTTAAAATAAAATATTGTTAGCGGGTAAATCAAATTCATACAGAGAGTTGAAGGACTCCACATAGTTTTGATATCCCAGGCTTCAAAAGAAGATTGAGATTCTTCTGGGCATCGATCAATTTTCTTCTCTCCTCAGAATCAAACAGGTTACTTTTTGGTTTTTCTAATACATTCCTATCCACATTATGTGAAGTAGAGTCACATTTTTCATCAGTAGTTGTATTTACACAAGTAGTTGATCTAGCAAAACAATGAGGCACATTATCTGCTGCAGTTACAGAAGCTCCTGCAAAAGTCAATATGCTTTCAGAAACTAAAATTGGAAATTCATAAAATCTATAAGCTGACCATAACATTGAACCAAGACAGAACTCTTGGCAAAATGTTATGACAAAATGAAATACTTCACAGTATCAGCCATTTACCTTCCTTGCATCTGGGAGTTGTTTTTCCCTCAGATACAGGCTTTAGATAGGGTGAATCATCATTACTATTTACCACCATCTTGCGCTTCTTGACAACTTCATCACTTTCAACTTCTGGTGTCTTTGATAACTCATCAAGCAATCGTCCCCTTTTTTTTGGTTTCTCCTGAGACAAAACACAAGAAGATTTCCACCGAGGATGCTTTCCCTCCAACAGCTTTATATGCAACCTAAGCGGTTCCCGCTCACATTTTTCATCAGCAATTGTATTTACACAACTAGTTGACCTGGCAGAAGAATGAGGCACAATATCTGCTGGAGTTACAGAAGCTCCTGCAAAAGTGGAGATGCTTTCAAAACTAAAACTGGAAATTCAGAAAATCTACAAGCTGAACCTAGCACTGCACCAAAACAGAACTCTAGGCAAAATGTCATGAAAAAAATGAAATAATTCAGAGTGTCAGCCATTTACCGTCCTTGCATCCAGGATTTATCTTTCCCTCTAATCCAGGCTTTAGATAGTGTGGACCATCATTACTATTTACCACCATCTTACGCTTCTTTACAACTTCATCACTTTCAACTTCTGTTGTAATCGATAACTCTTCAAGCAATTGTTCCCTTTCTCGTTTCCCCTGAGACAAACCAGGACAAGATTTCCCAGGATGCTTTCCCTCCAACAGCTTTCTCTGAAACCTGAGCGGCTGTCCTTCATCCGTATGTTCCCTTTCCCGCTCACTACTGAGCAGCAATGGAACCTACAAGTACACCAATGAACTAACACAAGTTTCAAAATCAAAAAATAGAACATGCTAAGCATAATAAACCAAATGACTAATGGATTTAAGACAAAACTAAATCAATCCATTTGGAAACTACCACCATCAGAAAATAAAAGAAAATGACCATTTTTTGTGCATGATAATAATACCTTTGTCTTGCAGACATCTTTACTTGCATTTACTGCAGAAATATATATTAAAAAATTTATCAGAACAAGAAAGAAATAATTAGTATTACAGGCAAAAAAAAAAATGGGGCAAAACTCAGTGTTACCTGATGCTTTAACCTCCTTTTTTTTCTTCTTAAACCACGCCAAATAATCTCTGGCATGTCTTATCTTATTTTTCACATGGGCAGTTCCTGCATTTTCTTTCCCACTTTTGCTAACTTCTATAGTTCCCAATGCCAAATCTTTCATACTCTTCTCCTTCCTTTCCCCTTTTCGGTCATTTAACGATGAACCCGAACTTTTACTTCCAGACATTTTAGACCCAGAAGAAGTTGATGAGTTATTCTTGGCTCTCTCGAACCTCCTCATGGGACTCGGCGTCCGCTTCATCTCAAACTCAGATTTCCTCTTGGGTGGTGAAGTTTTTGCCATTTTCGAGTAAACAGAGGCTCCGAGTTGCGTTTGATCTCCTTTACTACAGATTTCAACACAAATAATTCCACAAAAGTTACATTGATTAGCAGATAATGTTAGGGTTTCCACTGATGTCAGAGAAAGTTTCCCAGGAAAATAAGGGAAAGCAAATGAAACGGTAAGGCGGTGGTCCGGTGGTTTTGTTTGTGTTTGAACTTCTTGTAGAAAAGAAAAGAAAAAGAGTGTGAGAATCCCGTACTGCCTTTGTTTTACTTGGAGGGGACGAAAACGGCATTTAATTTTTATTTATGTTATGACCATTTTACCCCTGGGATTTTAACCATAGAAAATATGCGTACAAGAACCTGGCAAAACAATGGTCAAGTCAAGAGCCAAAATGCTCACCAATTGGGTGTTAGGTTGGATAGGTCTTTGGTGTGTCATCAAATGGTTCTCATTTCAAATCTCATGATATTCGTGTGTATGAGTTTCCTCGTCCCCTTCCTAACTTTGTCAACAACAAAAAAAACAGTCAGAATGCTGAAATTGTTTTTATGTCAACAGAAAAAAGAAAACAAGGGTTTTTTAATGTTGAATTCAAATCAGGAGACCAAAAAAACAAGAGTGAATTGAAAAAGTATAAAGGGTACTTTTGAGACTGAAAAATTCTTGAAAGCAGAAGCGACTTTTGTTAAATATGGTAAATCTTGATTATGGTGCAACACAATAGACTGAAAAGGGAGTATGAAAATAGAAAGATGAGCACATGATAGAGTTTGAAAGGTAATCGAATTATAAAGTTGGCCTAGATTTAAATGAAAATAATTACTCCCGACACCAACTTCCTTTCTTAAATTTAATTACAATTCTCCAGACTTAAATAAAAGTCGGCCTAATCTTGTAGAACCCGCTCTTTTTTTGGTAGCAAAAAGAAAAATTAAATGAAGTATGGCAGAACATTTTGTGATTATGAGTTCCTTTCCAAATAAGCTTATTTGAGAACATTTTGTGCCTGGTGGAACTATTGTATTTCCAAAATTGAACCGTTGATTTTTCAAATTGTCATTTACAAGTCATTTTTATGGAGGTTGCAGATTAGTGATTATAGAAATTGTTATGTGAAATTACCTGTAGGATAGCAGTGGGGTGAAATGTAAGTTTGCAACGGTTAAGCGTAATAAAGAAATCAAAACATACCTAAGGGATTGATAAGTTGTATCAATCCTTAAATATGCAGAACGTTAAAATTAAGAACACGTGAAGAATTATTTTACGTGATAAAACACCACCTCTGGGGAAAATCCACGGGATTGCTCAATCCAAAGCAAATCCGCTATAGAACAATGATTACAAGAAGTATGTTTGTGCAAATTTCTCACGGGAGAATATTCACATGTACATCCTTCACCTTTTGAGCTTTCTTCTCTCTCTTCCTTAATTCCTGTAAATCAAATAGGAGTAAAAGACCACACCCAGGGTTGTTAGCCAAAGGCCCTCCGATGCCTAAGTTAGTTCAATTGGATCTTTGAGAAAAGATGTGGCAATAGCTAAACTAGACGGAGTTTTCTCTCATGGGGAGAGCCGGACGGTCGGAGCCGTGTGTGGTGGTACTTTCCCGTGTGGGAGAGATGAGAGAGGGAGTGGCAGGAGCCAATGGAGGTGGTCGATGATGGGTAGAGAGAGAGAGAGAGAGAGGTTTCGGGGGATTTAGAGCTAGGTTTAGGATCACCTTGTGCATATCTAGGGTTTTTCAAAGAATAATTCCGGTTTGGAAGGAAGATATTCTTTCCCTTAAATGGAGGGATTGAGTCAATTAAGGATTTGGATTAGAATTAAATCCCTAATTAATGATAATATCCCTAAAATAAGATAATATCCCAAAATGGTGATATTATCTTTGATTAGTGATTATATTCCAAAATAAAGATAATATCTCATATTTAAGATAATATCTCATACTTCGATTGGTGATTATATTCTTCTTGTCCACGTGGCACTTTGTGATTAGAAGTTGAAATATTTGCTCCCACAAAGTACTCAAACGCTTATCCTAGACAAATTCTAGACAATGTCTACCCACTTCTTCATAACTCAACTTCTATCACGGGATAATCTTTCAACACTCCTTATGTTGAACGCAATACTGGTCACGATTGCTTCAAGCTCGCCGGAATTCTTCCAACTCTCATTTTGTTGAATCCGATACTGGTCGTGTTCGATTCAAACTCACCGAAGAAAAACCGTCACCGCAACCTTGGTGCCTTCAACTGTATGACTCACCGAACATGCAAATGAATGCAATATGAATGATAAAAGTGTTTGATAAATCACCAAGTAAACATGGAACACTTGATGATTTATCTTAAATAAAAACTCAGTTTTCCAAAGTTTATAGACTGAAAATATGATGAAAGCTTTGAAAAATAGTCCTTCAAAACAAAGATTGATTGATTGATAAATAAATGAAATCCACTCCTAAAGGGATTTTGATTGACTTAAGATTAGAGAAAATCATGCAAACAAAATCATATTAAATTTCAAAAACGTTCCTATCATGTGTTCATGAGAATGACATAGCTTACTCTTGGATCAAATGTCTCAAACATGTTAAGTCACAATTCTGTTATTCGGGAATTGCTGAGCTGTTTCAATCCTGCAGTTTTTGGAAATTAGAGACAAAAATTCACTTTCAATCCTACGGGGGGTGTATTCAATTAGGATTTTAAAAATACTATTTTGGAATAAATAAGTCTTGTGGTATTCAATTAAGAATTTTAAATAATCTAAATAAGTCTTGTGATATTCAATCATGACTATTAGGATATTTTAAAGAGGGTGTCCAAATCTAGTGGTATTCAATCAAGACTTTAAACAAGTAATAAAAAGTCTTTTGGTATTCAAAAACTTGCTAATTTCGATGGATTTTTTTTAAAATTAGGAATTTGTGTGACTCTTTAGTGGGAGGTATAAATACCAAACCCTATCCCAAATCTCACCCTAACCCATCACGTGAGATTTTTTTTTTTTTTTTTTTCTACTAGAGAAGATGAACAGCTCTTCATGAAGTTAAATAGTTCTTCGTGAACAAGGTATTGCTTCCTTCTCATGTTGTGTCTTCTTGCGTTTATTATCTGTATATTTCCTATATGCCATGTTTTTGTATATGGACTGTGTCTTTAGTCCTTCGTGGGTTTGTTGCTACTGTTGGTGGTATTGCTTCGTGGGTTTATATATGATAGCTCTATAACCCTTCACAACTATTGATGCTTCGTGGGTATATATATGATAGCTTTATGGCCATTCACATGCTCTGTTTCTTCGTCATCAATTGCTGCTTCGTGTCAGGCTGTTCATATACAAACCATATTGCTATCATGTATTATTATATATAACAAATGGGAGAATCAAACAATTGATGTTTATGGTCTGCGTCTTGTATAAATATATATATATATATATATATGATCTGCGTTTATTGTCTATTTATGGCTATCATGTACTATATGGTCTTATACAGAGAGCTTTCATTGTGGGATCCCTCAATTAAGCTTATTTGAGGGACACCCCTTGTAGGGTCCACTCCAGATTGTATTTCATTAATCCAAACCGTCTATTTTGTAGATACTCATTGAAAGATCATCTCTATAAAAAATCACATGAATCCGATATCATTTGACCATTCAATTGAGTTATTAAATTTTAGTATTTTCTTGAAGCACCGGGTTCATTGATTTTGTAAGACACAATTGGATGTTGAAACGGTTTCCGATTTGTTTAATTTTTTGTAAGGATGATCTATGAATGAAGACCTAAAAAATAGATGGTTTGGATCATTTGAAAAAAAATTGTAGGGTATTCTAAAGGGCGTCCCTCAAATAAAATTATTTGAGGGATCCCTCAATAGAAGGGGACTGTGGTCTTATATATATTTCATTAGTGTTCTTTTATGTATATGGTTTGCGTCTTATATATATATATATATATATATATATATATATATATATATATATATATATATATATATATATATATATATATATATATATATATATATATATATATATATATATATATATATATATATATATATATATATATATATATATATATATATATATATATATATATATATATATATATATATATATATATATATATATATATTCATTTCATTCAAAGCATTGCCATTTATATATATATTTTTCATTAGAGTGCAGAGACAAGCTCTTTTAACCACTAGCTGACTTGTTTCTGTCATATTTCATTTAAAGTATTGTCATTTATTTATTTTCAAAACATTGCCATTTATTCATTCAAAGCATAGCCATTTTTTGGGTACTGTTCCTCACCAGATGATTGAAAAGTACATGCTTTGAGGTGCTAGTTTACATTACTAGGGTGATAGTGTGTTTTCGTATGCCTTGATTGTGTGTTCTAAGTATTATCATAGAATGTATTATAATGTTTTGCAGCCTCATAAATTGGTACTATTTTATTCTGTTTATTATTTTGCAGTCTCATATAATGCCACAACCGAGCATGTATGAAGGTAATGACATAGAGAAAGAAGAAATTGATGAAGAATTCGTGCATCATTGAACTAGACATTGGTCATCATCCAACTAAGTTGGTTGGTTGGCATCGTACAAATAAAAAATTCATATGGTCCTTTCAAATCTTATAAATTCTTATGATATAAATCTTTAAAATCCAAACATAAAAAATCCCGAGTATAAAAAATCTTTAAAAAAAATCTTATAAGTCATTACATTATTAAATAGTCTTTTAAAATCCACTGGACTTATTTATCTATAAATAGTCTTTTAAAATCTCAATTGAATACATGCCCGCTAAATGACACTTCCAAACCTATATTAAGTTTTAGGAAATGCCAACATAATTTCATATTAACATTATGTGAATATCTTCAAAAAGTGTGAGTGTAAATATCGTCATTATTACCCATATTACTATGGAAAATGTTAGGTGTACCATTTTTATTATGAACTTCCTCTCTAATAGAACACTTTATATGGTTGGACTCCACCTCTATTAGAAATAGCATTACTTACTCTACAAGTTATCAGCAATTACCACAGAAGATGCCTTTCTTTTCATTGCGCATTAGTGCTTACAAGAATCCTACTCTCTAATAAGAGGGTCAAACTTAACTACAAAAAAGGTGGCCCTCAAGAATTCTCCA